TAGACCAGCTTGTTGATTATGAAACAAGAGAGCTATGAAACTGGCGAATGCTTCAACTGCTACAGAAAACAAGCAAAGGATCTGTTCCAGGATGGTACCTATCTATAACCAAGACAATGCAAAAAAATAGATTAAAATAACTTATAGAATCCTAGAAAAAAGAATGGATAAAATGGATTCCAGAACATCCCATTCTCAATATCAACTTTAATAAACATCAGAAACCCTGGGTAGTTACAAAAGGCAAATTTCAATAACAACAGATAATTTGGGGAAAATTGATTCTAGATAATACTTCAAAACAGCTAAAGATAGAACACTTCAAATGTATCAGCCCTATTAAAAATTGAGAATCAAAGCTAATCCGATGTCAAGGTTGCATAGAAGGTATAAAGAGTAAAAACTGATGTATAATTGAAACAAGTATAGAAAAAATATATACGATCCCCTATCTCAATGCAAGAAAGTCCACCAGAAGATCCCAATCACTAGAAATTCCAATTTCAAAAGAAGTATTGGAAGGTATGATAGATAGAACATTATACAATGACCAAGTAACTATTTAAAATGAAAAGGTATTACACATGAAGATAGAGAATTGGGAAACAAATATTATCAAAGATCACATTGAAGAAGGTGTCTACCAATCCCATTTGATCAAAATACTCAATCACAATAAGCAAAGAAAAGAACCAATGACATTTTATTCTGATGGGTCCCTCATTAACCACGGAAGTACAAATATGAGAATGGAAGCAGCATGGATACAGATAGAAGAAGCAGGAAGAGAAAGCAAGTTCCAAACTGGAGTAGAGGATTGGCCTTTATCTACTAGAGTAGAACTAGTAGCAATAGTTACTATACTACTAGTAGCCCCAGTAGATAGCAAGATCGAAATCTTTATAGACAGTCAAGCCTGCATCTTGAGGTTGAAACACTAGAAAAGGAGGATCCCAAAATGACCCATAAAAGATGGTTAAAAGAACAAAACTGGTCCCTGTGGATACGTATGCTGGATATTGTAAAGAAAAAGTGGCTAAATCTCAAGCTTACCAAGGTTAAGGCACACTCCAATATCCAGTATAATGAAAAGGCAGAACTCTGGGCAAAGAAGCACTAAGATTTCTAGTGATAAAATGGAAAAAATTGGTCTCATCCAAAATGATCATAGAAATTAAATGGCAGAATATAGTACTAGATACCCCTATAAGACAAATTATTAAAAAAATTAATAACAAAGTAACAGCTTATCAATGGACTACACAAGATAGAATTGAAAAAAGATGGGATCAACAAATCCAAGACCATCACAGATACATATAAGACCTTGTATGGAAACACTTTAATAAGGGACATACAGTATATGGAACACCTCATTTAAAAGCTCATGAAACAAAAGCTTTCTTATTAAACTAATCAACAATGAGCTACCAACACTTACGAAGCTGGCTATAAGAAGATCAGACTTTTACAAGCAAGTGAACTGTATTATGTGTGGCCAGAAAGAGGAAACAATAGAACACTTGCTAGAATACCCAACTTACAAGACTCAATGGAAAAAGATATGGCAAAAAGAAACAGAATGAGTCTTGAAAGAATTCAGGAGGCTCTTAAAAAAAAGGAAAATAGAATCAAAAGAGATAGAGTTAAGCTTGAAAATAGATGACAAGATAGAAATAAAAAAGATCGACAAACAGATAGTCAAAACTGGTAGAAAGAATCTCAGAAACCAGTCAAGACATACTTAGCTTCTGTATAGAATTAATAGAGGAAGAACTAGTTAGCAAAATTGCAGATTTGATATGTCATGGCATGATAATTGGAAAAGAAGCAAGAAAATGGATAATGAAAATGCAAGAAAAAGTTTGAAATCACTTTCAAAAGAAAATATGGAATACAAGATGTGAAAAGATAATTGAATGGGAGCAAAAATCAGGAATCTGCAAATATGACAAGATAGAAAGACCATTATATTCACAAAACTAGAAAAGAAAGAGTAACATTATAGAAAGTTGATTTAGTGAAAAACTGATATATGAAGAAAAAAGAGTCGAAGACAAGAAGTTAGAAGAAATCCTATTAAATAGAGTAAAGTATGGTAAGAAGTGATTGGGTTTTGATCCTTGTCAGAGCTCAAAAGAGTGATCTGCAGTAGTGACCTGTGGGCAATGATGTTAGAAGTTGGAAGGGTCTTCACCTGAACCTTTAACGGAGTGATAAATCATTTCTGAAGTTGCACTTAAAGAGGTAATACAACCAAAATGAGTGAGTTAGTTAGAGATTTAGTTTTAATACTTTATTTAATATGTACAGCTTATAAATGTTTAATAAAGTATACTTAAATAACCTGTCAGAGTGTTAAAAAAAATAAAAAATAAAAAATAAAATCACTTTTTATACTAATTTTCTAATTATATATAAAAAAGATGTTCGCAAGAAGTTTTTTCACTTTTTTGCTAATAAATTTTTAATACTTTCATTAAAACAACTTGAAGTATGACTTCAAAAGTCATTTTTATACTTTTTTTTTTATTTATAAATCTTTTTATTCAAAAACTTGACTTCTAGTAATCAAAAAAAGTCAAGTAATACCTTTAATACCAATAGTAAGAATATTTTCAAAGGAAGAAGAACTAATTATAAAGTATCTAAAGATCTTTATAACCTTTAAAGTAAGAGTTTATAAAGATTTTATAAGTAAAAAGTCTTATTTTCTTTCTTTTTGACTACCTGTATTCTCTTAAAGCTTTTCTTTTTCACAGTTTTTTGAAAAATTTTATCTACTTTAATTTGATCCTGAATTTTGGATAGCACAAATCCAAATCAAAAGTGATTGGATAACACAAAACATATTAGTTTTTGAAATATAAACAAACTTCTATTGGTCACACTCACATGTTCTAATAATATTATTGATAATTGAAAAAAAAGATATATGAAAAAAATATACTCTAATTAAGCAAGTTTACAAGAAAAACAATTATAATATTAAAAGGCTAGTGAAAAAATATAAAATATGTCTTTTCTATCTCTTAATTAAGTCTTTTAGGTGATAAGAAGATTTTTTTAAAAAGAAAGCTGAAGTTTTCAAGTTTTTATTCTAACTAGGCAAAGTTTTTATAGAGGCTCGTTAATTTTAATCAAGTTAACTCTATTTTAATGTAATATTGGCACTAGTCTTATAATAAGCAAATCTATATATTAGTAGAAAAATAAGTTCCTTAAACATTCTTTTAGAAGTCTTAATATTCAGAAATGGTTAAGTTTCTTAAACAGTCTGAAGTTCAAAGAATATTTCAATTAAACAAATTCTTTTTGAGAGAAAAATGTTTATTTGAATAAGAACTTTTTGGAAAGCTCTAAATTGGTTTTTTTTTTTTTTTTTTTCCTTTTCTAGTTTATAATTCAACAATTCATTATTTTTCAAAATAATTTATAGTAATAAACTGTAGGTAATAATCTTGATAGATAGATATTTTATAATCAATTTATCAGGAGAGTATAATATTATTTCCAAAATCTGACTTAGAGTATCTAGTTTGGACTTTGTTTTGTTTAGTCCAAACTAGTTTAATAGACTTTTCATATTTTTTAAGTAGTATAGTTCTTTAATTAATAATATGAAAAAACAAGTTAATCATTAAGTAAAAGTCCATGTATATTATAGATGTTTCTAATATCTCAATAAAAGAATATCCTGATGACATGATTATAAATTAAAATAATAATAATAATAATAATAATAATAAATAAAATAAATAAATAAATTGATTGTTATATAAATAGCCATTGTAATATTGTAGATATTTATTTAATATCTCAATAAAGATATACAATAGTGATATGATTAAAAGTTAAAAAAGTTTAAAATATTATATATTTAATAATTTAATTTTATTAATTGAATTATAGTTAAATCTTATTGTAGAATATATACATATAATTTAAATTGTTTAGTAGTAATATATACTGCATATATATTTTGATTATACTATATATTTATTAAAATTATAAATTATATTTCCTTAGAAATAGATAAGTTTATATGTTAAATACTTTTAAAATATATCTTTAATTATAATAGTAATTTATAAACAAAACAGCTATGAATCAATATTGAATTTGTTATCATAAAAATTTATTAAATTTTTATAAAAAGTGTATCCTGTATAATATGTAATATAAAAATACAGCATATTTATTTAGTTTAAAAAAAATTAATCATGCTGTTAGAATTCCGGATAGATCTTTCCATAGTGCCAACAGAAATTCATAATACTCCCGCTTTTCTATTTTTTTTTTTTTTTTTCCTAAAAATTTGTGGGTGAGTTAATTGTCAATGTACTATCTTTCTCTTATTTGTGTTCTCGGGAAGCAGTTCTAGTAGTTTTCAGAAGAATGCACGGTAGATTTCAGGGATCGTCTAACTATAAATGAGATTCGGAAATTAAGTATAAGTTAACTCGTGAATATAATTAAAGGAGATCGACTAAGAACTGATCCGAGTGCTGCAATATCCAAATATATTTTCAATTTTTAATAAAGAGATTTTTTTATGATTATTAAAAAGAAAGGCTAATTTTTTGACATTTATGATACATTGATATACTGACCTCGACCAATAATTAATACATAAAAATTTTTTACGAATTCATTTGGTGTAAATTCTTCCTTACTTATTCTCATTTATATTGTGAGTCATGTACTATAAAACTGACTAAAATGCCATCCCGTCATAAATCATTTTTTTGTTCGTTAGAACATTTATGACTCCCTAATACCATCACCTCCGCCGCCATAACTTCCATTCACTCATTTAAACCCGCATCTAAAAAATTATACTTATCATTGTAACGAATTGTTTACTCGTATCATTTCAATCCTTTGATATTTTCATTTCTCTTGGTTTTCATTATTTGGATATTTTTTATATCTAATTGCTAAAATGGGAATCGCAACAAGCAAATATCCATTGCTTTCGAACAAACACTGTATCAACAACTACGATGAAATGTTCGAAAGCAATAATGACGACTACAAAATGCACCTGATGCACTGCATATTCAAGGAAATTTGGGAAGCAAATTTTCGAGCCCCCGTTGATATGGCATTGCAGCTGGGAGCCAAAGTACTAGACGTTGGGTAAGTACGTTCGTACTTCAGACTCTTTTTTTTTTTTTTTTATCACGTGATTCACGTAATATTTCTTTCTTAAAGATGTGGAGGTAAGCTAACATTTACTTTGTGGACAATAATTATTTTCTCTCGCATTCTAACTTGACACTAATAATCCTCGAAAGTCGGTACATGGGTAAACGATATGGCCTCGGATTATCGCTCCTCACGATTCACCGGAGTTGACATGCAACCATTGTTTCCGACTGTAGCCAAACCGTTCAACGTAGATTTTGTACAAGCAAACGTCCTGAATGGCCTACCATTCGAGGATAACACCTTTGACTATGTGCATTGTAGATTTATGATCTTCGATTTTATGGAATGTCAATGGAATTTTATTTATAGAGGTGGGGCTTATTCGAATAATATGAACAGATTATCATATTTCCCAAAGTGAATATTCTCACTTTCTTGCTTATCCAAAAACCTTTAATCGAAACTTTAATAGAAATATGCAGAGTCCTGAAACCCGGTGGATGGATTGAAATCGTAGATTCTGAACTCGGATTCGTTTCCGAAGGACCCTATACGCGGGGCGTGGTCGAAGCAAGTAATGAAATTGATATTTTGGTGGTTTTTTTTTGTCCCTTTTGAATGATCATCTCTCACCTATTCATCTTTCCTCCCTCTTTTTAAATAAGTCTGCCGAAAAATGAAATCCAAAGGTATCAATCCCTTAATAACTTCACGTCACGAAATTCTCCTTCGTTCAACCCCCAATCTCCAGCACGTTTCTCACCAACAGAAAAACTATGAAATTGGCTCGAACTCCGGCAAGATTAGTGAACAACTTTCAATGAACTTGCGCGAGACGTTTAGAGAGTTCCTGTTGAAATTTGACGGAGAAATGGAAATTGATTCAGGCCTAACCAATACTCGTAGACCGACGTCATTGGGAAGTGCCTATGAAAATGCTCATAAGTTGAAAGATTATGGTGTTCACCCGGAACCGTACACAAAGTCTGGTAATGCCAAGCATAAGAGAAAGTCTGGATGGGATGGGAGCCGCATTTATGGTAGAAGAGACGATATAAGCAACAAAGAAAATACCAGTCACGTCGCAACGCAAGAAACATGTAAAATTATAAAAAATGAAAGGAGCAAAACAGACAGCGGGATACGGTCTCCAAAAATAATTTTATCAAAGAAGAGCGCAATAAGGAAGGAAAAGAAGGTAGAAATGATAATCGAAAGGATTTCCCAGGAATTCGATCTGTATCAGTCAATGATTTTGATGCATCGATTTTGGGCACGGAAAGCCAATGATACCACTACGAGCAACGAATGAAAAGCATACGACGCGTTAACCTATAGAATACATAATATTACAACTAGATATAATTAATATAATGATGTTGGCATTCACTACGTGTTTTATCGATCAGCTTTTTCGTAGACTGATCTTTCCTTTTCGGATCAACCTATCTTAGCCAACTTTGCTTTTGATCCTTCCAATTTACTTTACATATTATAATTATGAAAAAAAATTAAAATTTAATTCTTCGCCTAATACAATTAGAATAACAGTTCCGTTTCCGAACTGATAGAACCGAACGAGTTTAACCGGTGTTCTTGACCTAGTTCTCATTAATAAAACGTTGGAATTAATGGTTACAAGAAAGTTTCCGTTTCTTTTTTTTCTTAGTTTTCCAGCGAAACTATATTTTAATACTCCTGGTCAATTTCATGGAAAGAAGCATGAAGTTTGTCTATTCTTTTCTCAAATTTGATTATTTAATGTATGTATATATATTAATTATTAATGTATAAATTGATTTATAAAAATTTTTTACTAAATGTATATTTAATACATAATTCAAAATAAATTATTATATTAAATCAATAAAATTATATAGTCCATTATAAATTTAATATGCAACAATTATATAATATTGGAAAATTTTATTTAAAGATCGTGGAATTTTATTTCTTTAATTTTATAATAAATAGTAAAATTTTCAATTAACCAATAGACTTTTTTATTAAATCGTTCCCTTAACCACCAAACTTAAGAGACCTCGGCTTAAGACGAGTTAGTTTAATTTTTGGGTTTAGCTTCAGAATTGAAATTTTATAACATAAACTTATATACAGGAGTTCTCGTGATCCGGAAATTTCACTCGAAACCAATGCATGTATACTATGTAAATACTGTATGTACAGTCAAAAAGTAAGGCCTAATTTTAAAATAGGGTCAATTACGTTTTACTTTATTTTATGCGTTATACTAAAAAAAATTTTTTTTTTTTTTTTTTTTTTTTAGTTAGTATTTGATCAGACCTTCCTCTGCTATAATATGGTATTGATTCTTCATGGTATTGAGTATAAAATATTACAAAGAGTAGAAGTATCAAATTTTTGCTACTCTTCTGTTAAAGTGATTTTTAGGTCACTTACTATTTTTAGAAAATTCTCATGTTTTTATATATTGTCTTTTAATAGCTTCCAAATGTTTTCTATTGAATTTAAGTTAAGTGAGTTTATCAATCAATCAATCATTTCAATTTTATTTGTCTTGAATCAATTTGAGATGATCCACACAATGTGAATAGGTGCATTATCTTGTTAAAAAACATTATTTGCTTCTATTAATTGATGTATTTCATGTTGAAATGGTAAAAATTGAATCTCTAAAATTTGAAGATAAGTATTTGAATTAATTCTTTGTTTATTTTTTTTTAAAATAATCACAAATAACTAATAGTTTTTCAATCTTTCCTATTTTTTTTTTTTTTTTTTTTTTAACCCACAATCATGGTACAATAATATGTCTTTATTAAGATATTGAGAAATACCTAAATATTTTATAGACTTTCACAAAGTAACTAACTTATTTTTATACATTATTAGTTAAAGAACTACACTACTTAAAAAATATGAGGAGTCCATTAAGCTAGTTTGGATTAAACAAAACTAAGTCTAAACTAGATACTTTAAATTAGATTTAAAGAACAATATTTTACTCTCCTAGTAGTTTGGCAATAGTATCTCTAAGTCAACCAGGATTATTGCCAACAGTATGTCACTGTTGATTATTCCAAAAAACAATGAATTGCTAAAATTGACACTGGGAAAAAGGGAAAGGGGAATGTAAATCAAAACTCTTCAAAAGATTCTTACTTCATTTCATAGTTTTCTCTTAAAAGGGATTTGCCTGATTGAGATATTCTTTAAGCTCCATGATATTTGAGAAACTTAGCCATTCCTGAAAGTAACTTTAAGAAGAATGTTTGAGGAACTTATTCTTCTGCTGATATACAGATTCACTTATCACTAGTGAAGCCAATGTTATATTATGAAATAGTTTGCCTGACTGGGATAAAGAAATCTTTTCAAGAACTTTGCCTAACTGGAATAGAAGCTTGAAGACCTCAGCTTTTGTTCAAGAAAATCTTTTCACCACCTGAGGAACTTAATAAAAGATAGAGATTAAATTTTCTTTTCATATCTGACCCTCACCTTTCAGTATCATAATTATTTTCTGAAGGTTGAACATACATGATTGGAGGAGATACTTTTTCTAGAACTTTCTTTCCTATATCACCAATGATATATCGAAACATGTGAGTGTGATCAATAGGAGCTTGTTTATATTCCAAAAACTGATATGTTTTATGTCAGTCAATTACTTTTGATAAGGATTTATGCTATCAAAAATTTAGGGTCAAACTGAGATAGGTAAAATTCTTCAGAAAACTATGAAAGTAATAACTCTAAAAGGCTCACAAGTAACCAGAAGGGGAAAAATAAACCCTTCTGTCCTTAAAAATCTCAATATACCTTTCACTTCAAAGATTAAATAGATCTTTAGGTATTTCACAGTCAGTTCTTTTTCTTTTGTAAACTTTCTTGCTATTGGTATCAAAGATGTTGCTTGACTTTTCTTGGTCACTAGGAATCAAGTTTTTGAGTAAAGAGATTTATAAACAATAGGAGAAGGGTAGAAGTGATTTTTGAAGTTATACTTCAAGTTGTTTTAAGGAAAGTATTAAGACTTTATTAGTAAGGAAATATAAAAACTTCTTGCGAACATCTTTTTTATATGTGATTCGAGGATCAATGAAAAGAGTTTATTTTTTTTTTTATTTTTTTTTTTATTTTTTTTTAATCTTCTGTCAGGCTAATTATGTATGTTTTATTAAACATTTGTAAACTGTATATATAATATGAATTACTAAAGCTAAAAAATACTAACTAACTCACTTGTCTTTATAATTACTACTTTAAGTGCAACTTTGGAAGTGATTTATTACTTCATTAGAAGTTCAAATAAAAACTCTTCCAACTCTTAATATCATTGCTTGCAGGTCACTATTGCAGATCATTCTTTCAAGTTCTGACATTACTTAAAACTCAACCATTTCATTTCAAATCTAACTCCTCTTGATAAAATATTTTTTAGGTCTTTATTTTCTAATTTTCCTTTCTCTAGTATCAAAGCTTTTCTTTTCAGTTATATGATTTTAGCACCTAGGAAATTAGAAGGTCTTTTTATTTTATTCTTCTTTTGGATTCCTTATAATCTTTTTCATTTTATTATTCTTTTATATCTTGCATTCCAAATATTTTTCTAGAACTGATTACAAGTCATACTTTGTAGTTGAAATAACCCCCTCCCCAATTACTAAAAGAAATTTCAAAGCTATTGTTAAAAGTTACTAAGATAGAGTATACCCTTAGAATGATATGCAAGAAAAAAGAAAGTTTCTATATCAGAAACCAAATTAAAGAAGCCCTAAAAAACAGATGTAAAGACCTTAAATTTAATTAAAAATAGATGCTAAGCTCTATCTTGAACCACAAAAGACCCAGAATCACACTAGACTAAGTTTTAACCAAGAATCAGGAAGAAATAGAATATATAGCTACTAATTCTCAAACCATCAAATAAAAGACTGAAGACTATCATAAAGAAGCTTTTAAACAAAGAAATAACAACTTTGAAAGTTTAAGTTTCTCTTAAAAAAAAGAATATCCACCTAAAGAATGGATTGATTTAATATAATATTCAGCACTAACAAAGAAAATCAAAATAGAGAAACTCAAAGCTACTTTGCAATACCCCCCAAACAAAAAAGTAGCTAATTCATCATATATCAGTTATAAAATATTCAAACACTTAGATACTAAAGGAAAAGAGATCTTATACTTGCAGTTCAACAAAGTCTTAAGTACTGAACAAATACCTAAGAAATAAAAAAATAATAATATCTATCCTATCCTTAAACTCAAGCCCTGAAAATGTCAATTGAGCAATACAAGACTTATTGTTCTCCTTGAAACTGCTTGGAAATATTTTATCAAGATTCTTACACACTGTCTATCAATAATATATAAACAATATAAAATCCTTAAAGGTCCAAACTTTACTGGTCTATCAAGAAAAAGCATAACATAACTTATTCATCTATTGAATAGTATTTGTGAAGAAGCAAGAGAAAAGAAAAAAAAACTATGGATCCTTTTTCAATACACTGTTAAGGCATATGACACAATACCTTTCTTTATACTTGAAAAAGTTATAGATCAGATTCGAATTCCAACAACTACTAAGAAGATTATAATAGATCTCTTTAAAAACAGAAGTTGTAACATTATTCTTCCCAATGGACTCTCTAATCCAATAGTTGCAGGAGATAGTATAGATTAAGGAGAAACAATATCTTCACTGTTATGGAGAATTTTTTATGATCTATTGCTATATAAAATTCAAAATAACACTACACTGGATTATACTATAAAAGAAGAATGATCATCCAATTTTCATAAACCTGAGGAAAAGATCAAGCTCTCTCTAAGGCAGGTAGTAATTACATATATAGATGATATGACCTGGATTGTCAAATCAAAAAAAAGATCTAGAAAGTATTTTAAAAGAAGCAAAAAAATTCTAATAACAATTGATTCACAAATTAATATGACAAAGTCAATTCTTCTTACCATTAATCAAAATCCTCAAGATTTTGAAATGGTTCAAACTGAAATAGAGAATATCATAGTTCATAAGATCAACAAAAAGGATTAAACCAGATTCCTTGGTATTTGGTTAGGACTAAAACAGAAGAACCAGAACATGTTTAATTCAATAAAATCAGAAATCAGAGTAGTAGTTCAGGCAATAACTAAAAAAAAGTTGATAGAAAAACATGCCTGATATGTTATCAATAGAATTTTGATTTCAATAATAGAATATAGAATACAATATATAAATCTGAATGAGAAAATATGTGATAACCTAACAGCTATATTCAGGAAAGTTTTCAAGAACAAAACTTTAATTTATAGACA